CCGAGTACATCACCGAGTTCCGCAGCCTGATACCCACCCTGGGCTGGCCGGACGAGGTCCTGCAGGCCCACCTGTGCCAGGGGCTCAACGAAGACATCCGCCACTACCTCTTCCGGGTGCCCCAGCCGGACTCGCTCGACAGCCTCGTTGTGCTGGTCCTGCAGATAGAGGAGAAGCTGGCTGAGCGGAGGGCGGTGCTGAGGCTGCCCCCCGAGGCCCGCCCGCGGAACCTGACCTGGATTGACTCACCTGCGCCCGAGAGGTGGATGGTGAGCAGCTGGCTGCCCAGCGAGGCCCACCCGGCCATCAACCGGGCCCACCTCTTCCTGCTGCTCATGGTGCGCGTGAACCCCTACCACAGCGTGGCCGTCCAGGCCCTGGTCGACTCGGGGGCCGAGGGCAACTTCATGGACGAGAAGTTCGCGCAGGAGCACTACGTGGAGCTGTACCAGAAGCCCTACCCGCAGTCCGTGCCGTCCGCGGCCGGCTCGCTGACGGGCGACGAGCCCATCTGGCTCCACACCGAGCCCCTGGTGTGCATCCACCAGAACCACCAGGAGTCCATCGCCTTCGACGTCCTACCTTCGCCCGACTTCTCCGTGGTGCTCGGCGTCCGCTGGCTCCGAGTCCACGCGCCCGACATCGACTGGATCAGGGGCCGCTGCACCTTCCACTCTCCCTACTGCCTGGAGCACTGCTTCCGCCCGCCCCCGCCATGCATCGCCCTGGAGCGGCACAGCCTGAGCCTGCTCCCCGGCCTGCCGCACCCGTACTCAGACCTGGCCGACGTGTTTAACCCGAAGGAAGCAGATGAGGAGACTTCCGACCAGCCAAGCTCAGACGGATCCGATGATCTTTCTGAATCAGAGCCCTCTGAGCTTCAGCAGGCTGGAGACAGTGATCACAGCGAGACCTTCTACGAGTGTCCCTCCACCGCGCCCTGGGAGCCCGTGGGTGCTAGGATGCAAGAGCAAGCCAGACAGCGGGAGGAGTGCTGGGCACTGCGCGCCATGCTCACGGACAGGCAGGACTACATCCAGGTCATCCCCGAGCTCTTCGACCAGCTGCACGGGGCGGCCTGGTTCACCAGGCTGGAGCTGCGGGGGAGCGTGGTGCCGGGCAGCCTGGGCGTGGCCCGCACCGAGGACACGTGGCGGGCGGCCTTCGGCTTGGAGCCGCAGGACATGAAGAGCTACCGGCCCTTCCCGCAGTCCCCCGACCCCGTCATCCCCCAGAACGTGATCCACTTTATCCTCAAGGACATGCTGGGCTTCTTCGTGCTGTCCTCGGGCCAGGAGGTCCTGGTCTACTCCATGTGCCGGGAGGAGCACCTGCAGCACGTGCGCCAGGTGCTCGTGCGCTTCCGCCACCACCGCGTCTACTGCTCGCTGGACAGGAGCCAGTTCCACCGGCACACGGCCGAGTTCCTGGGCTTCGTCCTGACGCCCAAGGGCGTGAAGCTCAGCAAGGCCACGGTGGGCGCCATCGCCACCTACCCGCTCCCGACCTCGCGGAGGGGCCTGCGCGGCTTCCTGCAGCTCGCGCTCCCCTACCGCCACTTCGTGGAGCGCTTCTGCGCCATCGCCGAGCCGCTCGTGCAGCAGCTGCTGCGCGGCGACGCCGACGACTCGGCGCCCTTCTCCTGGGGCCGGGCCGAGCAGGAAGCCTTCGACGCGCTGCGGCGCGCCTTCCGCCGCGCGCCCCTGCTCCACCACCCCAAGCCCCAGAACCGCTTCTACTTGGAGACGGGCGTCTCCGGCGCGGTCCTGCACGCGGCCCTCATCCAGACGGATGAGCAGACCGGCCGCCGCGTCTCCTGCGCCTTCTACTCGCGCAGCGTCTCGCCCATCGAGGTGGGGTCCTCGGCCGTGGAAATGCGCGTGCTCGCCGTGCGCGCGGCCCTCGTAGTGTGGAGCCGCTACCTGGAGAACACCGAGGAGCCCATCATGATCCTTCTCAGCAGCGAGGATCTAGCCTCTCTGAATAATGACAGGCTCACCGTACTTCTCCCGGGGCACTGGGCCTTCTTCTTCTCCCACTTCAACTTCGACGTCATGCCGCTGCCCGCGCACGACCACGACGACACCGGCCAGCGCCGGCCGCCCCTGCGCTGCCCGCGCTCGCTGCTGCTCTCGGCCGCCCGGAGGTCCCAGCGGGACCCCCCTGCAGAGCCCGGCGGCGGTGGCCAGGAGGCGGCGGCCCCGGCGGGGGCGGAGGTGGAGGAGGAGGAGGTGGAGGAGGAGGACGCGCCGGGCCCCGAGGAGGAGGCCCGCGGGCAGAGCCTGGCGCGGGAGCTGCTGGCCATGATCCCCGTCCACCACATCCTCCACAGCTTCCTGGCCCACTTCAGCGTGGCCCAGATCCGCGCCGTGCTGCTGCACTTCTTCCGCGGCCTGCTCTACTGGAAGAGCGCGCTGGCCCTGGCCG